TAGCTTACGCAAGCAACGTGGTCTCGAAAGAGAAAACACCGAACCAAAAACGCAAAACCTGCAAAGGTGTACAAGTGTCATAACACAATGAACAAACCTTTACCTCGGAGCTACGAATACACGATCTCTTACTGTTTCAAGCATGCTTGCGTGTATGTGCAGTGGATTGCCCCGGAAGGAGCACAGTAAGAATGCGGCCGTTTGCGTGCCTTCGGGAGGTTTATGGCTAATAGTTTAATGATTAAGTGGCTTAGGGCTTATATAGGGTATGTTCAGGGGTTTGGGGGTGTCTGCTAGAGGTACAAGCCTCCTCAGGAAACCATGTGACAAAAAAGCAAAATCGTCTCCTGCTGTCCGCGAGCGCCACGCCTCGGTCGAATGAGAATTCAGGAAGCATGATGTATATAAGCACCTGATTTTGGGAATCTTTCGATGTAAGTCAATGTGTGTGTGGGGGCGGGGGGGGGGGGGTGACGGTTGGCCTCCTGACAACTATGGTCTCGCTAACGTAGACCCCTTCAAAAGGACTTGTCTCCCACAAGACAGGGTAGGCCCCAAAGTAGTTCCTTTTGGGGGTTCATATTTGGAATCCTTTAAGGTAGTCCTAAAAAGGAACTACTTTGGGGCCTATGGTTATGGTCTGTGAAGGATGCAGATGTTGGGTCCATCAAGCAAGGATCTACGCAGTGACTACTCGCTGCCCCTCTCGTGCCCAATCCTGCGGCTGGCGCAAACGCGTGGAGAGTTCCGGGCTTGTGAGTTCACGTGTATCTTATAGTCTTATAGTGGAGACGACAGGTATCAGAAGGGCGCGAAGGCTGTCTAACTTCGACCGGTCATGATAGTAACGTTTCGTATATGTATGTAGAGGCGAGGGCCGGTGGCCAGTGACAAATTTAGCACTGCTTCAGAAGTGGGCGAGAGTAATGCCATATGCTATGTTGTTGCACGCCTGTCTCATGCTAAATGCTTGCGATCTTTGGGGTTGTGGTTGACGCACCAGCAGAAACCCTCCCGCTAATATTCCGGCCACCCTGCGATGGAGCTCCCTGACAAGAGGCTGAAGATTGCATGCAACCATACCGCGCAATCTAGTATCGGGACACCCGAAACATGTCCGGATGCACTGCACAGAAATCACCACCATGTCACCCGCGGCTCGGCTGCCGGTGTTGGTCCGTGCCTCTGACGAGGTTCTGGAAAGGCTCAGCTCTGGCCTTGTCCACTAACGCTAAAGTATACCCCTTCACGACATCGAATGTTCGACTGCCAGACGTTTGAGGTGCCGGGGAGGCTCCGGGGAAGACAGGGCTCTACGTCTACAGGTCTATAGGTCTATAAGGTCTCTGGCATTCCGAGTCGGAGCCTACATGACCAGTCCTGCGAACGTGCTGCCACGTGTAGTTTGCATGACCCCGCACCGTCCTCTTGAGCTAAGTATTTGGTATCCGGCTGCTCTTGCATCAGCAAGCCGTATCAGCACGGAAGATGCAGAAGGACAGAGAAAGAGTCATTGTCAGGAAAGCCTACTAACATCTACTAACTTTGTCCAGACTTCCGCGTACAACTTCGAAGTTCCGGCCTTCCTCAGCTGGAGGTGCTTTCACGACTGCCACACCTGCGGGAAGGTGAGCATGGACGGGCAAATAACAACACAGTCCGGCCGAACTGCCAATTCCTGATGGCCACCAGAGTTCACAGCCCGTGCAAACAACGTGCAATCTCAACCCAAGTCAGCCCCAACCTCATCCCTTAAAAGGTTCGCAAAAATTCATCTTTTTCACCCGTAGAAGAACAGAAAGGGCGGAAGCTTAGCATCGTTTAAGCATGCAACAGAAGAAGCGCAGGGCCGTCTCAGCGTGAATTTGGGGGGCAGAGTTGTCTACATCTCCCGGGAAGGGGCCCAAGCTGGACTTGGCTTCCAGGACTGCGAGCCTTTCCACTATCCAAATGCTCTCAGCCTGAAACATCTCAGGCTCCACAAGTGGTGGAAGGATTCAGCACTTCGGACTCGTGGCTTTGGGCTTCGTGGGTTCGGATCCTGCACATAGCCTTGGAACGACTTAGGGGCTTGAACGATAGAGAGGTTTAGTACGTACCGTAATCACTCGCAGTCGTGCGTGTGGCGGAGGAAGCGGCTCTTTTCTGGCCAGGCTGAGCAGTACTTTGTCTTTGGACTGCTGCGGGATGTGGAACCTGGTGCTGCCCTGTTGCCTTGGCGTATTGACCTTAAGAACTTGTTTCTGGTCGTCTAATTGCTTAAGGGATGCATTTTTTTGCCCCCTAAAGCCTCTATTTGCAGTAAAGTAGTAAGTTTCTGGTCTTCTGATTGCTTACGGGATGCATTTTGTTTGACCTTTAAAACTCTGAACTTGTCATTCTAGGGGGTTTCTTCTTTAGTGAGAAACCTGGATTTCCCGACTTAAAACCTTTAATTCCAGAGGTGTCTTCTTAATCAACAGCGTGGATTAGAGCGGAACTATTTGCTTAATCCATGTATGCTCATGCTTCAATAGGGGCATATGAACCCGCATGGACTCTAAAGACATTGTTTCAAATGCCTCATGTCGCTTCTGTTTCGGGCTCCATGGAAGATGTCTCAGGTCAGGGGCTGCAAAGTAAGACCGTCGGTTTAGGATTTAGGGTTTAGGGTCAGGGTTTAGGGTTTGGGATTTAGGGTTTAATCCTTCAAGCCCCGGTACCGTCCCCTCTCGACAAAGATTTGCAGTAAACCAAGCTGCAACAGGTGCAAAGGCTGCCTAAGTGGCAGCCACGTGCACGCGGCTTTTGGCAGCATGCACGTCTGAAACATCTTCATCTTAGATGAGCTGGGAAACGTCGAAGACTCCGAGAATACCTCTAAAATACTTCTTCGTGGAGGCTTCAAACTTCTGGCCTCTTGACACGGGGAGCATTACCTTTCAGGCTGCGCTGGTCCAAAAACTTCAGCCTTCGTTTCATTCCTGAAGTGACCAGCGTTTAGCCGAACAGTCCGTCTGCAATCTGCAGTCCCGGCACATGAATTACCGTCTGAAGGAGAAGCAGAAAGTGTCCCCAACGCTAAGAACTTGAAAGCCAGCCGAAGTCTGGTTTCCTGGACACGTTTCCTACGCGGTTATGTGAGACGATGGACATCAGAGTCGAACAAGTTATGTCGTGGCATGGCAACCTAGAGGAAGCTGTCTGAAATCATGGCCGCCGCAGCCAAGTTGTGAAGAATATCAAAACGCTCACACTGCTGTTCACAGAAGCCTGGTACACCAAACGACACGGTAAAGTCTTGGAGGGGGCACGTCCATGGTACCACCGCATAGGCCGCCGCGGGCAGTTTGTATGCCGTGACAACGCGTGCAGACGGAGTGCAGCAGCTGAAAGCCTCTGTTTGAGAGCTTGCCAGGGCACGATGCCTCCTTGCCAACATTTCTTTCCGGCGCCCGTGCTGTCAAGTCTAACTACCAGGTAGCGGCATCAGCAGCTTGCCAAAATCGTGGGGCATGGGCCGCCAGTATGCAGAAACTGCAATGCGCTCTCGGCGCATTCCGGGAGTAGGTAGGCGCACATGATCCGGCAGCCCCCTAAACTTTAAAGTTGGGAGTAACTCGGCAGCCGTATAGCTTCAGCTGCACTTAAAAATTGGTTTCGCATAGCTGGAAGCTGGCAGGAGCTGTCCGGAAACACTTCCAGACATGTAAGGACAAGAATGACAAGAAGAGCCTAGAACAGTGGAAGTCTTCTAACCACCACTCCTACAAGTATGTGCATATGCCCCGGCATCAAGTGACAGCTAGGTGCTGTGATTTAATGAAAATCATCTTTGGCCTTCGACGTGAGAACAAAGTCTGAGTCTAGCCCTGGAAGCCCACTTGACTGCTTGGCAGGCTGCTATGCTTTCGTACCAAACGCAGACCGTAACCGTCTAAAGAATCTGGTCTTCCAGGTCCTTCTGTGTGTACGTACATGCATACATACCCACATACATACCCACCTACCTACATGCATACCTACCTAACTAACTACATACATGCCTACCTACACACATGCATACACATGCATACATACATACATACATACACTCATACATACATACATACATACATACATAGAAACGCATGCATGCATGCGCGCATGCTTGCATACACCCATCCGTACATACATACACGCGTGCATGTATGCGTGTATGTAGGTATAGTATATATGCATGTATGCATGTATGCATGCATGTATTTACGGTTGTGTGCATGCATGTAAGTATGTATGGAAACACACCACGTGCAAATGTGTATGCAGGTGTATCTGTATGTGAATACATCGCGAACTATACTTGAGAACATAATCACAAAACCAGTGAACACAAATCAGTAAACAAAAACAAACGGATGACTATACACTTAGAAATAGAAAGCTCAAAGACAAGGTGCAACTAACCATATGTGTACATGTATATATGTATATACATATGTACATACACATATATATATATATATGTATATATATACACATATTTGAACACGTGTGTATGCATATATATATATATATATATATATATATATATATATAGTGCCTAGACATTTGTGCATAGCCTTCAGCTCGGACTGCTTGCGTTGTCTGCAGCTTGTTCTTCAACACTGTTGACGCTCACTTTGCTCCTGTCTGCTACACAACTTCAATATCCAAGCCCGAGGGACGATGGTCTGATTTTTTATGCGTCCTTTTGCAGGAAACCTGGAGTACACTCACTCTCCGGTTGAGAGTTCAACGATTCTACGGCCTGTTGTCCAATTGTCTGACAGGCCTGGGGACTGACAATCCTGAAAGAAGGGGGTGATGACAATCTCGACATCTGCAGAAGCACCAAGCCTACGTTCGATCCAGCTAAGCTCATCCTATCCCTCGGGCACAGGAGACCCTTCGGGTGCAACGTGTCCACTGTACCGTACCAAGCAAGACCCCGTCTTTCTTACGAGGTTCACGCAGCAAGGCTCAGCAAGACAAGTCAACTCCTATGCAGTGACCAAGCGCCCAAACTGCGCGTCCATATCCGAGAAAGAAACTTTGTGCCGTCGGGGCCGTGGAGGATGAGACCTGAGCCGTACGTACTTGGCAAGGCTTTTGCCCACATTCAGTGGCAAACGCACGTGACTTAGACAAATAACCCCTCGCTCCCTGGTCCCTACCGAACATCAGTCGAGGGATACCTCAAAAGAAATCAGTGGAGACAGGAGAAGGCAGCTGCACAGCAAAGCTGCAAGTATGCAGCCAGCCGCCGAGGACCTAGGACATGTACACCTGTGTAGTCCCTGTGAGATTTGAAGGCTTTTATCCTGAGGTAGCAACCACCGAGCCAGGGTTTGGTGTCTCAAATGCAGGTCCTGATGATACTGCCCATCCTTCTCATTTCGACACCGCTTGGGCTCAGGGGGAGCTCTTGGTCTGTGGGCCTCGGGGACGTGAGTTGCTGGCTGCATACCCAACACTAGACCTCTAGCATTGATTAATTACTTGATGTTGATGCCAATAACACAACTGACTAGTGCCATTGTAATGAATACGTCGATCTCTCTTCCAATCCTGCCGAAGAGGATCGACATATATCGACATTATTCGGTTGGACATAACATGGAACAGGGATCTGATGACGATGATGGAGCATGTCTTGTTATGACCTTACTTGTCTTAGTTATGGTCGCTGCAACATCTCCACACGCGTTTGAGTGCAGACCGAAGCGCTCAAGGTCCCGTCGCTTTTGAACCAGCATGGAGTTCAACGACGCAGTGGCAGTGCCTTCATCCCGCAAATTACCTCGGTCAAGCAAAACAGCTAGATTTAGGTGCGAGAGATGCGCTCCGATACTCCGCGAAGCAGAACTATGCAGAACTTAGTAGTCAATATTCAATAGCCCCTCAGTGCGTGCAACGGTGAAGATGAAGGTGTGACGGCAGGTGGCACAGTCGCTTTCCAGACGCTACTCGAACCTCACGGACAGCCGCAGGCCCTGTAGGCCCCAAGAAGCATCGGGCTGCCGAGGGTTGACATGCAGGCCAAAATGCTAAGGAGTTCGATCACCTCTTCGATGGGCTTGGCCCCCTCGATTTGCCAAAGCCACATGCAGTGAGGAATGTACCTTGGACGCCGAGAAGCCCGGCCCGGACCACGCCAAACAGACGGCCCACTCCCTCCCTGAAGCAACCGACCCCGTGAGTCCTATTCAAAGATGCACTCCCCCAGCACTTCAGCTGGGCAAGTTCTGCTGCAGACTCGAAGTCAAATGCCCCATAAGCCCAAGCTGGAGGCAAGCCGGATTTCTTGCAAAGACTGGTGCGGTCGCGGTACACCTGCATTGAGCCTGTCATGAGCTCCTGCAGGTTGTAGGCCGCGTTGTGCACACCCTGTAGCTGGTGGCAAACAAATGAAGTCGCGTGACAGGTGGATTCTGAAACAAAGGTGTGTGGAGTTCCATGAAAGATGCAACAAAAAAAACGTTCACGATCACGCAGGTCGTCTTTAAACTGACGATCACGGCAGTCCTCTTCACAAGCAAGGTCGTTTCTTTAAACTTTAATCATTGAGTTGCAGAGACTCTCGACTCGAGCTTTGGTGTTGCATGCGGCCCTGCGCGAAATACAACAAAGTAGTCATTCGAGCTAGCTTGAAGCTGACGGGCGGATCCAGGCGGTTTCCCAGTCGTGACGAGATAAATGTCCGGCTCCGTAAAGATTCCGAGACTGTGGACCGAGCCGGCGATAAGGAGATCTATCCAAGAGAACACGGACCGGCAGATCCAAGACGCAACCAACAACGGAATCCGATGATCGAGCAGCGAAACCCGTAATCCTGCGCCCGAGCTTTCAGACCCTTTCGGCCCAACATCCGGGCCGAACAGGGAATAAACATGGCGCGGAGTAATACGAATTCGTCAAGGGATCGCAGAGCTCGGGCTGAAGGCTTCTGTAGGGGCCAATATATTTGTGATGACAGGGCCTAGACTTCGAACAGGCATAAGTTTGAGGTTCAACACTGCAAAGAACTGGTACATGCTCTAAAGACCTACATTCACGCAGCCAAGGATCGCCCACTGGTGCATGGCTTCCGCATGCCAAAATCACATAGACATGCCTTCAATCGCAAGTGTCATCTCTTAGGTACGGCCCTCATACAGTAAGAGTCTATAATAGGGCTACTATTCAATTCCTACTATATCTATATTATGAATATTATTCAACTATTACTGAGTGGGGGCCGTACCCAAGTCATCTCCGTCAAGTCCGTGCAGGCTTGTGAGTATCCACTGGTTCCCCCCTACTTGGACTCTGTAATAAAGCTCTGGCGGGGTTACTACACAACAGCCTGTTTGGACAAAGGTCCCATCGGTGGACATGCGCATACATGTCGATTACCCACAAAAATCGTAGATACGTACGTACGTACATACATACATTGATACATACAAAAACACACAAACATATATATATATATATATATATATATTATATGTATGTATATGTACAAACATACATGTATACAGTCAGAGGGACGGACGAACCCCCGAAATGACCTAAACAGGAACCATCGAGGTGCCGTAAGGTTGGGGTATTTGATAATCCTCCCTGAAGTAAGCCATTAAGGTAGGGATATCGCACCCACGAGGTTAGGTTTGCGTTGTGATATGTATGTATGCACGCATTCATGTCGGCATGCATGTATGTATGCATGTAGGAATGTATGCTTACATCTGCATGCATGCTTGTTCGCAGGAATTGTTTAATGTGACGTGATGTGTTGTGGTGTGCTGTATGACATAATGTATCCCTTGTATGTAGTAGGCGCAATGATTGCAATGCATGCAGTTTGAGTGCTGCGAGCAATGTCTATGTGCATGCAGTGCACAGCTGAGATGCAAACACGCAGACATGCCTACCTGCACTCGGGCACAGCCACACACACACACACACACACACGGACACACATGCAGGTACGAGTACATACTTCCGAGTCTTCCACAGCGAACCTGAGAAGCCATTTTTACACAATCAACACTTTAGCGCCACAAAGCCTTAAACTTCAAAGCGCCGACCTGGGCGGCTGCCAATGAGGCAGCGCATTCAGGACTTGCGTCAACTTCCTCGAAACATGGCGCCCAAACAGCGGCTTTATCAGCAAGGTTAGGACTCTAGGACTGATATGGGTTGGAGCCACCAACACATCGTAAGAATCACTGCTAGACGAGCTCAGAGGGTCCATTCCGAACAATCTATGTGCGGTACCTCGTGGGATGGCTATCCACCTGACCAGATTTTCAACTCGTGCGCACCTGGTCTAGCAGCAGTTTCTTGCAGGGAAACCGATGCAACTTGACTCGCGCTCTCTGGTTCTATTTCGAGCCTCCTGAATCCTGAGACCATGGACCGTCTGCGAGCCCAGTAACCCTTGTAGTAGCCCCCACCGTGTAGTTTTCTGGAGCCCAAAATGATAACATGGATACGGAATCTCAGACCAAAGAGCCCGGAAACCCTCAGCTAAAGCTCTTGCATTGCCCATAATGCCCCCACAACCTCTTATAAGCCTGCAAGTTTCTCGAAAGCAAGCACAATTGCCTACCCAAACGCTACGATTCTCTGCCGAAGATACTGCAGAGCTGGATGCAAGGAACAACAGCCTTTCTCTGCAAGTATACCGTATTCATGCCGTATTCATCAACAGAAGCTATACTTCGGGATCGGCAGGTCTTCCGAAAGAGCCTGCTCTGGGCCCCTTGAAACCCACAGGAACCTTACTCCAATGAAAAGCTCGGCGTCTTCACTTGCCACGTGGGCCCTAAGGCACCGATCCGCCAGAAGTTCCGGCTTGCCACGCCCAGGGCAAGCTCATACTGCTGGTGAATGGCCTCGGACGGAGAGTAGTCGTAAGTCTCGGAGGGTTGGGATGGGTTGGGGTTTAGATGGTTTAGGATGGTCAAGGTCTTTAGGGCTTTAAAGCTCAGATTCGAAAAAGTTCACCAGTAAAACCCCCCCCAGGTCACAAGCGCTTCAGCTTTAGGCTCGCGAGCTCTGCTGAGCCAAACAAGGAAAACCCAAGGCTTTAGGACGATTCTTACTCCCATTAACCTCTTCGGCTTACGGTGTCGAAACGTCCAAGTACTGCGACCGATACAATATGAAACGTCTACACATCCCTCTAGCAGCAGAAACAAGAAAACAACACCACTGACGCTGACTCCAGATAGCCCGCTTCCAAGGAGCTTTGCTATATCACTGGGCCTGAAGCCTTCGGAAGCCCACCACCGGTTGCGATTTAGAGCATCATAATCTTGATGCCCCCTCGACGGCTATAGGAACCTGCATAGGGTCAGTAAAACCATAAAACATCCTGAAACGGATATCAGCAGGTGCAAGCACCATTTCCCTTCCGGCTCGTCGCAAACGATCGAAACCCACCGCTCATGGGAAGCTACACCCATCTCCAAGAACAACTCCTTGATTTGGATTGCTTCCAGGTCGGTATAAGGTCCTGGCTTCGAACATCATGTCGTCCTCAGATGGGTTTGGTGTTCTTTTCGATTTAGGTTTGGGGCTTAGGGATTTTAGGGGAGCTGACGGGTTTTGGCATCTGGGAAACTGCGTTCTGCAACCACAGTGGGGGAGTGTTCGGCTTGGTGCGACTGTCAAACTGCTAGCAACGGTAAGTAGCACCTTCAGCCAAGAAGCAGCGCTGTCCACAGACTCATCATCCTCTTTCGGAGCCGCAAAATACGCTTTGGCCAGAGACGGTGCAATCGAGAACTCACAGAGCCTGGCTGGCATCAAGGTCGTTGGGTTTGGTTTCCATTTTAGCCAGAAGCTTCGACCCATGTCAATGTTTGGATGACGCGGGCACAAAGATCATGGAACCGCCCGGCGCAGGTTTACGCAAAGCATGCTTCGCTTCGAATTGGTTGAACATGAATCGAAATCCAAGGGGTGTTAGCCTTTTGACTTCCCGCATTGATAGAGCCTGAGACCTACATTGCTGCATGTACTCAAGGAGGCTATGTTGGAACTCCCATCCAAAGATCCGTTCTTTCTTTCCGCCACGGTGCAAGCGGCTCATGGTGCAGGCGTCTTTCTGCCTGGCCAGAGTTTGTGGAGACTCAGCAAAACTCAGCATCTCGAAATTAGCCTGAAGCTGGTAAGGTGTGCCTGGAGTTCAAGATTTGGTTTCGCTCCGGTTCGGCGTGTCAGATTCAGAATCACAGCGCGGACACTAATCCGAAACCCTATAAAGGGGAGCAGAACCCTAAAGGCCCTAAAGTCTAGTCTGGCAACACGATCGGTGGAGAAGCCTCGCCAGCTCTGACAGCTGCTTCGCTCGTTCAACAAGGTGTGCATCGGGAACAGAGGCAGAGCCTGCTCGAGACCGGAGATGAAGGGCTACGCTACGCTACTAGTTCTGCACACCTCTGTGCGGATTCGCCCAAAGGCTTCAAGACGCATAATGGCGGCATGTTTTCTGCTAGATCTGATCTTGCACCGACGTTGCGTTGTGCTACAGTCAGTTGTTGGTTGCGTTTGGCTCCAGGCAGACCGAGTCATTCAAGGGTCTCGGGAGATTCTACATCAGCCCAAGCCCGTCGTGCCAGGTTTTATTCCTCTTCATTCATGTTCACATGTGCTGTCTACTAGCCGTGCCCCAAAAGCTTGTATATCCACATACATGTACGCGAGTTATACACCCATACACTCAGCGACATTGTGCAGGTATGCTATATGCTCTGGCAATTTGCTTGAGGCGCTTCTCATTTACCTGCTATACCTGCTCAACCGTTTATGGTATGTCGTTGTGCTTTCTGTCCACCCCCGAAATGACTATGCACAGAGATGTGCTAGTCGACATAACCCGTGATCCGTGGAAGCAAGACATGCAGGCGAAAGAGTAGAAAGAGCTAATTAGCATGCACGGCTGTCGCGGGTGCGCCCATTGCTACTGAGAAATGGACAACAGGATATCTCGGGTGTGGGCGGGTTTTATGCTAGTCTTTAGCTTGAAGATGCGAAGGGTCCTGGGCCGATGCAAGATGAATCTGATGTGCGTATATCTCTGTATATATATGTATATGTACATATATGATGTGTATATATATATATATACATGTGTGTATGCATACAAACGTATATATGCATACACATATGATGCATACATGGGGCTGTCAGGATCCTGCAGTGCCACTCTCCGAGGGCTCCGTGCCATGAAGCCAGGCGGCCCCAGATCCAGCTCGGGTTAATCACAAGAACCTGCCGAAAGATATGTGAGATATGGGTAGTTCTCTAGATTAGGGCCCCTTTTAGGGGTCCTAAAAGGGTTTCTATATGGCTACTGTATGGGGGTAGTTCTCTAGATTAGGGCCCCTTTTAGGGGTCCTAAAAGGGTGTCTGTATGGCTACTATATGGGTAGTTCTCTAAATTGAAGCCCCTTTTAAGGGTCCTGTTTTCTATAAGGCTACTATAAGGGTAGTTCTGTAAATTAGCGGCGTCCATGTTAAAACAACCCTAAATGGGACTCGAATTTGGAGAATTATGCTGACAATGTGGATGATGATAGTGAAGGCGGTGGCGATGATGATTGTTTCCGCGCGGCCCAAGAAGGTAAAGTGTGGTTGGTTAATTCGGCGACGGTGTTGCCATTTGTGGGTTCGCCGGACGAAGCTGTCCATGCGCTCCTCCCGAGAATTGAGACAGGCACTTCAACGCCTAAGAAATATAGGATCTTGCTAGGATCACTGCTCGCTAGAACAGAGCCATCGGCCGAGTGCGTGCACAATTCTTCACGTACGGTGCTTATGAAGTCTACGTCATAGGGTTGGTACTCGTACCAGTAATCGGCATCATATCACAACTCCTGTGCCAAGAAGCCCCTTTCAAGCGTTCCTGGAGCTTCCACAGGATCGGAAGGCCAAGTCCAAAGGTGCTGTCCTGAGGGCTGAAGGCTTTTTGATCTTCTTTACTAAAATGGGGTTCTGTGATTTTTTTGTGTGGGGTTCCGAGCTTTCAGGTTATCGGAGCTTGCAATGACTTACCTAGAGCGCGCAGTTATGTTGCTGATTCGGGGGAGGAAGCGGAATCGCGTAGACCTGGTTTCAATCTTTACTTTTGTTGGAGGGCATGGGCCAACTGCAGGCAAGCGTCCAGCATATGGAACATGTCATGGAGTGGCAGGGCATCGATCCTTAGTTGCACATATTTGCACATCAACACAGGAGAAAGGTTGGAACTTGAAGTGGCCCAGCTGCCGGTGCCAAGTTCAAAAGCTCGTCCACGCACACTTGTGTCTCTTGGACATTTTTTGATAATTCAGACAGAACGTGGAATACAAGCCTCTGTCAGCTGCAGTTTGCGGTAACGCACCACAGAACGATATCCTGCCCTGGACCCCACACCCTAAACCTAAACCCTATACCCGATAGTTCACACAAGGAGAAGGACCCCGTGCTCTCGTAAGCTCTTGCCCGGGAGCACATGAAAAAGATCGTGGTAGAAGGCCTCTCCTTCATGGCCCTCGCCTTCAAACTCGTCCTCGCATGCCGCATTCTTGGGCTCAGGGCTTTGCTTGACGAAGTTTGCTTGTAGAATGGAATAAAATGCTTCTATACAGCATAAAACACGGATATCACGGGTCTGCATGGCATACCAAAGCCAATCACGCGACACCGTTGGGCTTGACACCACAGGGATTAAAGCCTACTTACACTTCCTTTCCTGCTCCCACAATTACATGCAAGTGACGTGCCCTTGTCGAAGCTGTACAGTAGCGATTGCACGAAGTGATTCATGATCCAAGCTATTGGAGCATGCTCCGCGCCTGGTATTCGGTGAGCAGATCTGGATTCACCTGGGATCTGGGGTCTGAAAACGTCTTAAGCATGGACTGCACCCCACATCTCTAGGAGGATGAAGAACGAACTGTAAAGGGAATTCCTTCGCAATCAAGCATACAATTTTTGATGACTGCCCTCTGCGAGATTTGTTTGTCGATGCCAGGCTCAAGGAAAAAAGGCTTCAAATCTCCACAGCTAAACAGCTAAACACAACTTTATTGATTGAATTGCAGGATCCTCGGACATGTCCACGCGCGGGAGCAATCAAACTTTCGTTATCCCCGAGCCGGAGACAGTTCCCCTGACGAAAGTGATGTGGCCTATCTTCCCTGCATGAGCTTTCATGACCTGACTCGAAAAGGAGGTATCACTTACAAAATCGGGACGAGTTTTGCATTCGGGACTGGTTCGGAGAAACCGAAAGCAGATGCGATGTAAGCAGAACCATGCAGCCATCAAGCCGCAAACTACATGAGATGTGCACACTTTCGAAAATCAGGTCTTTGAGATGCCACCCACCGCGACCCTGCAAACAGTATAGCAAGCTGCGTATCGCCGCATGGCCGACGGGCAAACAAACACCTAAACGACTGTAAAGCGACCGACCATGTGTCAAAGCTCAGTATTCTTAAACTGATGTGGACCTGCCCTGCACAGGTGTAAGCATGTCCTAGAACTTCTGGACACGTTATGAATCAAGTGCGCTTTTTCCCGGTAATCCGAAAAAAGCTTCGTCATTCGGGCTCCCAAACCCGAGAACACGCTAGACATATGTAGACAGGCAGCAGCGTCGCAGCACACACAGAATATTTCGCACTCCTGCCAGCATTGGGCTTTCCTCAACTTGCTTCTGTCTTTGAAGCCGAAGCCTAGATTCTGTTTATAGATGTGTCAGAAGTAGGGTCACTGCGCTGCAGAAAGTCACAGTGGATGGTTGCTCTGCTGTGCCCCAGGACCTGGAAGATGTGAATTAACGAATTGGAGCGATGGATATGAGCTCTTTTGCAATGCTTGAGCTTTTGTTGAGTAGGCTTTGACTCTCATATCATAAAATACCCAGATCTTTGGATCTCGAGCTGGGATCAAGACCGAATTCCCCAGCATGATGTTGCTATCAACCGACCGAGGTTTTAATGTTCTCATGCTGCACTTCAGAACCCGCTGGAAAAGAGACAGGCCTCTGAAACAGGAGCACCCTGCACTTTGCGAAGAGGTGGAGATGGAAGCGAAAGCTCCAAATCCGAAGGTCCGAAGTCATGCGCGCCTGGGCGGCCGCTATGGCTTTGACTGCCTGCTCCTCACAGCGGATGCAACCAGCGCTCCAAACGTAAAAGCACCGGACGCGCTGTTGTGGGCGAAAGGCACGCGCGGCCTACATCGTGGCGCAGTTAATGTCGCATTGGCTGACCGCGAGGTACCACGAGACTCGACCCCTTTTACACAATCCAGACTTGGGCTGCTGTGCTTGAAGCCGACGGCTTGAGCACTGGGCATCTGGGGCTTGGAAGTGGCCTCTCCGTATCTGGAGGATTCCTTACGAAATATATAAGCAATTAAATAGACATGTGACTCTATAGGCGTACACTGTATGTAGATATGTACATATTTATATACACATGTAAGTATGTATGTATGTATATATATATATATACATACACATACACATGTTATGTGTTCTATCTGATACCTATGAGTCAACCCGGTCTTCCTGTGTTTGTTTGTACCTCGACCTTCTCATTGTGTGATGCGGCGGCTTGTGCGAGGAGCCTCCGTGCACCATCGCTGGCCCATAGGATTCATCCTACCATTCTTGATAAAGCATGATGCCAGCTTCATGCTTTATCAACGGCTGACAAGGCAGATGCTGCAAAGCCACAGATGTGTGAGGTTTATCGCTGGGAAGAAGCCTTGCGGCTTTTCTGGGTTCGACAAGCGACGCTTGTTCTGTATCTAAACTGTACCAGCCTGGAGCGACCACGGCAGGATGCGGCAAAAGCCCAAATAAAGCAGCGGTTCCTTAGAGGCAGAAGCCACAGTGAGCTGCTGTTGTTCTCAAACGCGAAGACCATGACAGCATACCCTAGATCCAGAGCTAAAGCTTTCGTTTAATTAATTGAAGGAGTACGCACAAACAAAGGTGCGACATGGGTAGTCATCGTACCAATGGGTTGTTTTTCAAGCGGGTTCCAAAAGCTCCAAACAAGCCTGCACAATAGGAGAACACATGCGTCGGTCGGTGCACCTCTCTAGTGACTCTAGTATGTATAATTAATGTACTTTGGTCCCGAAAGTTGCTGTTTAGAAACCTCAATATAGGGAACGCACACGGACATGGGCCACAGCACGTCGCACAACAAATCCAGCAAGTCGAGCCGGATGCCATGACCCCCACGAAGTTGCCTCAATTGCCTTCTTTCTGCCTGCGATTTACATTTCAACTTGTCTGAAGCCGCAAATCCGTTCAAACTGAACCCGAACCCTCCGACCCAACCCGATGCCCCGACCCAAAGGCAGCACAGATTCTCTGCGAAGGTGACATGGAACCAGTCTGCAAGGCAGGCCGCAAAGGCTTATCATGATCATATCGACTTGACATAGGGTTCTGTAGACTTCAGGCATCAAAGAGGTTCTGAAGGCTTTAAACTCTTTAGACTTCAGGGCTTTGGGATGGAATGCCTGTAACTGTCCGTAACACCTACACTTACAAGCAGCACCGTCAATATGTGGATCGTGGCATCCCTACCACCAGACTAGCTCATGGTGCACTGCGTTCAGCCACAGGCACAGAAGTGGCTTCATGCAAATCACCACACATGTCAATGCCTGAAGAGCAAGTGTTCTCGATGTTACCGGTAAAGAAAACCTCCACCCGGACAAAAACTAAAGTGCAAATGCTCCAGGCTTATCTGTGCAATGATGAAGCAAAGTGACACGTAAATGGTGCGCATGAGGCCATTGATGTTGAGACCTCTGCGATTCCGAAGCACAGGGACTGGGGGCTGGTTCAGATCGTGAGTCCATTCCGGTTCCAACACCCGCGCACCCCCTGCCCCACCCCCCGACTAACTTAAATGGATCCATGGATGCATGGGGGACTACGTACAGGCAGTTCTCATGAATTGAACCTGCGTCGATGTGCATCGCTTGCTAGGGGCCTCATGCTCAGGTGGACTTCTTCGAAATGGGTGATCAGTGTGGGGTCCCGATTCCAGCCATTCTCGGGATTCGCATTTGAAGACAGCCAGTCTCATGTGCCCCTGTCACAATTAGATTGAACCACGCAGCACAAGGCTCTGTAATACTGGTCGCACTAGAGGTCATACTATGACCCCTCCATTGGGTCCTATACCCCTCCTTTCACAGGCCCTGTGTTCTCCCAAAACCAAGCAGCAGCTGCAGAACCGTGCCAAGGTTCCCTCCCATCGAAGTTTTGTGTTCAGGCCACGGCTTCATGACACTACGAACAACTCTAGGAATCCGGGCACTTGGAGGATCATGGGACTTAGTAACTAGGGTTATAAATCAGGTAGCTATGCTTATAACTCCAATTAGGGTACTTATAACCTTACTAGGTCCCATGATCCTCCAAGTAGCTTATCAAACTCTATTGAAAGAGCGATCTGGAGTCAGCCCTTCAGCGCGTGTGTGTCGGGCCGGGGCGGGCGGCACGCAGAGCTGATTTCCTGGCTTCCTCTGTTCACTCGGTCGAGTCTGCCAAGATACGGAGAGTTATTGGGCAAAAACTGTAAACAGACCCCTGAGTGTTCAGGTGGGAAGTCTCGTACTATGTATGAGATTTCCTATGGCATGGTCCCATCGCTTCTGCTGGGATAGGAAGTAGGAAGCCGTCTCGGACCCCATTCGAACTTCGAACATCCCATGCATGCAAGCAGAGCAATCCGAAGCTGCCGGGGTGCGACGTACCTGTGTGGAGACGGTGGTGAGAGACCTGATTGAGGCTGGACTATCACAGTCTCGGAGAGGCTTGAGTATGACTCACCCGAAACCCCTAAACCCTAAACCCCTATACCCGAAACCCTTAAACCCTGAACCCAGAAGGGGCACCAAGCTGGGGAAACATCATCTGCAGCTCTTTTGGGCTCTCTAGGTCTCGGCAAGGGAAGCATCGGGGCCCTTTTCGAGGAGACGTGGAATGAAAGTACCTGCAAACGAGAAACAGTTCCTACGACTTAAGACCCAGACTGCCAGAAAAATCTTACCCTGCATACTATCGCAAGGCCAAGCCGTCCCCAGGCATCGAACCCTGCCCTCCCCTATGAAGGTCGGCGCTTCTCGGTTCGGTGGTTTTGGTTTCCTGGAGTGGAAGCACGTTCGAACAGCGAGGTAAAGCCACTCCGCAGTGAGGGGGGAACAGAACTGACGGCACAAGACCTTGTTAGGACCTTGTCCATTCACGGCAGTTCGCTGAAATGGCTTCACAGGGTACCACAACGATGTCAACAATTGCCATGATGTCGCAGAGCTTCAACTCAAGAGCGTTGATGTTCGAATATCTATAGGGAGAGGTGCAGTTGACGCCGTCAGCTTTCAGAGTCTTTGCAGATGCCGACATGTTCGGACTCCAGTTGTGATCCCACGAGATCGGATATTAGCCGGTCTTACCGCCTTACCCTCAACTCTAAGCTGAACTCTCGCCGTTTTCGGATTCAAGGACACATGTTCTGCCGGGGCGCTGTGGGTATGTTGACCCGATGCTTGACATCCCGATGTTCCAGAGGTCGGGAAGGTTCCCAGAGGAGAAATGCTGCCCTCGGCTGTCCCCGATATTGCAACTCACTCAGCACAAGCTCTACCTCAACAAAGCCCTTCAAGTATGAACTATTACGTGGTCCCGTTCGGCCAGTGTGGGACATCTACATGTCTGAAACATACTGTACACCCCATGACCCAACAAAAACAGTCACCCGATATGCAAACACACAAACACACACATGATCGTGACAAAACAGCCCCGATCATGCCTTAAGCAACTTCAACTTACACAAACCAGGAAGCCCCTAAGCCCTAACCCAGCCTTAAAATTGCCGAACTACACCTCGACTTCCTTAAATGAGGAAGCTCCCCTAAACCCTAAGCCCCCAATTTTCCCTACATACGCACCCAGCTCCCGGAAGTCGGAAAGCCCCCCCTAAACAAGGCCCAAGATCCGGCGTAGACACGCAGGCGACTGTACAAGGGCTCGAACGGATGGCCGTTGCAAGCGCTGATCGACCAGAGGTAGAAGCGCTCGAAGACCTTGTCAACAGAGGTGCCACAGGAGGGCAGGAGGGTTCAGGCTAGAGTTCTGTAAATTTTGGCTTAAGTTTAGGGTTGGGGTTGAGTTTTGGGGGGTCTGGGTCATTTCAGGATGTCTGTGTGACATCGATGTCTCAGCAGCAGCTTCAGATGAAGGACGAAAGTGGCTTGGCATCTCCGCCCCAGGAAAGAGGCATCTTGAAATGACTGTTGGGGTTTATGACAGGCAATGGTCCTGTCTTTTCTCAGCTTGCAACAAGCGCTGAGACCTGTAGCATAGCAGCCTTAGAAGTACGCCGAGAGCACAAGGGAAGTAAGTATGGTCGTACAACTGACAGGGAATTCAAAGCTGAAGCGTGTGTGGGTGGTTCTCTGAATTAGGAGCTGTCTTATACTCGCAGATGTTTCCAATCCACCCCCTGCAAGGACCCTTACGCACCTCGGAGTGCCCTCAGCTTGCGGCCAAGGCACGGAAACGCCAGCCTGGTCGCAAGCGGCGGTGACACAAAAAACGCTTCCCCAACTTAGCCCCATAATGGGCTACTACTACTACATTGCGAGCTGGCGCCGTAACCTACTACACAGGTGCAGCGGTCCCTGCGAGCATTCCATAGATGCTTTCAATCTGCCATTTGGCTCCTCTTGAGGCTTCCGGGAATCGGGGGAAGAGTGGGCGCTGCCAAGTGATGTTTGTAAGCCCGTCTTCCCTGCGCTACAACAGGCATCCATCCCGCACAAAGCCCGGGATCCCAAGCCCGCCGTCCACGAGGCACACTATCCTTTTGTCTAGCACCCCACGCTGTCTGTGGGGTACAGGGCCATGCCAGAACTGGGCATCAAGATCAGAGCCCGACTGTAGGGACACAAGCATGGAGGTGGAGAACGAGTGAACGAGTGCCAGGCAGCACTAAACCAATGATCCTCGCATCTTGTCAATGCGCGCCTTGTTCCTGAGTGACAACGCCTCCCCATCCGACATGAAGATCTGCCGGCGGCGGGAAGGGGTTAGGTCTTTCATTGTCGGCAGTGTGGCTTCCACCAGGCGAAAGCATCAGCGGTAAACGTGGCAGTGCTGATACAATGTTTTCTCTTTTGCACAGAGAGAACGCGGCTTGCCAACAGTAGTCAACAGTCTATCTAGCGCCAGAATCGTCGCAGGTGCCAGACCTCGTGTCCACAGTCCTTCTGTTGCAATATTGTTGTGAGACTCTAGTATTGCTTCTAGCTTCGAGTCGAGTACTGTTTTCCGACCAGTGTCTGAGGTTGATGTTACCATGTTCTATAACATCAGAATGATCGTGTTCACTACCACACCACCATCGATTCCTATATATGTACATGCACGAGCCAGCAGGGTTCCTCGATTTGCAAGCATAGATACTGGGTAGGAGTAGAAATCTGCGCGATTTGTTCGGGCTGGCCGAGGCTGCTTTGATTCTCCAGGCTCTCACTACCCAGAACCTTTGTCTTTCAAACTTTATCAGCCAGCCGAATTGAACTTTAGGGGGATGGAAACCAAGCTCTGATGGAATATCAGAAGATGCAACTCCAACTCGGACACCCACCGAACCTCAAGACAACAACGGCTTGAGGCCTCCGCCAGATCCGCCGTGGTCTGATCCTTGCTGCAGCAGCAAGACGGGACCGAAAAAAGAGGCACAATGTTCCGTTGCAGCTTGGCCTTACCCCTTAGACTCTGCTCATGCCCTACATGGAGGCCTGGGAGGATTGATCCTGGGGCCACGGCCGCCAGTAGCGGAACGCAATGAGCCGCCGTGCAGCCACGGAGATCCCGATTCTGGCAGAATGTCGGGTAAGACATGCAGGGCTTGCGAGAACTATCATCACGATTATCAGTCACATATATATATATATATGTGTATGTATGTATGTGTACGTGTATGTATGTATTATGTATGTATGTATGTATGTATGTATGTGTTTATGTGTCATTATCTTAAACATACATACGTACGTACATACATACACATACACACATACATACGTACATACATACACACAAACATGTATAAGGACACTAAGGGAACATTTACCAGTGTTAGCAGGGGGTTCCGCCCACTCTGCGGTGGGCTGGACGCGTTTCCACGTTTGCTCGGCCAACTGGTCGATCTGCCAGTCTTTGTATGTAAATGTGCGTATCTGCATATGTACTTAATGAGATTACGGATACTAGTGTGTGCATATATATATATATATATATATATGTAGATATGTAATTATGTGTGTGTGGGGAGATGTGTACATATGCTCATGTACACACATTGATTTGTTTATTTGTGCTACAGAGATCGAAATAAAACACACTGAGAAACACACACGCACACACATGTGAATGGAAACAGGTGCCCGACAGCATGACTTACAAATGGCATGGGCATTCAGGCAAAGCTCTTCGAATCCACACCGTCTCTTGTGTCATGTGGACAGGCCCTAAACCGCAAACATAAACCCTAAGACCTCGACCCTAAAAACATCCCTAATCCCTATATGAAGCTCTAAGCCCTTAACCTGATACTGTAGTAGGTGTCGCGCCGTGCTCGCCGCACCGACACGGATCAGAAGGCGGACGATCTGCACGCGATGGAGGCACCGGCTGGGGTCTCACTGTGGCTTTATGAGGGGTTTAGGGTTTACAGTAGGTCAGTAGGGTTTTGAGACAGACTCGGCGGGTAGCTGCACAAGACCTGAAAAAGACAGAGATCCCACACTGAGGCATCACTGCGACCGTTGAGGCATGCTAGTGGGGCGAAGCCGGCATCAAGATGGCGCCTTTGAAAGAAAACAACCTCCTTTTGTCTCCTGCCTCGACTTCACGTTGCTGAGCAGCCAAATGCAGGGTTGTTGTCCTAGATTGGCAGGTGCACAGGAACTTGCTTGGGGTCCTGCTCAAACAACTTAACACGGAACTTCAGTCTCACACTACAGCCCGGTGGACGACATGCCGGTTGAACTTCAGCTCAGAGCGTGATGCTTCAGTGTCACTCAGAGGCATATGCGAATGAACCAGTCAAACCCCATGCAGGGAATGAAGAACAACATCGGGGAAGCACTATCTTGCCCAGCGACCCGCGTCCATCCGAAAGGTTGGGGTCCGCCTGTTCCTTCAGAAGCTTTCGGCAATCCTGCCGGTCGCAAGGCAAGCGCAAGCTGTCGGCTTCTCCACATTGACTTGAACTTGCAAATCAAAAGACGTCTATACACCCTAAACCCTGAACTGGTCTGAAGACCATAGACTTCTAAACCCTGCGACTTAAGAACCTCGGGAAAGCCGAATTCCCCGGCCTCCAAACGGTTCTCCCTCACTGCGCTCCAGAGCGGCAGCGACACTCCGATGGCAAGCTCCTTCAAGTTCGGCTTGTGTTCTATGTGTCTCTGTGTGTGCGTGCGTGTGCATGCAGGGTTTTTGCGGTTCACAGGCCTTCCAGCAGTTTGCATGACCTAATTACGTCAAGCAACGAACCCAGTGTTCAGCCAACCGGCACAATCCTCACAAGTTGCACAAGACTCGGAGGAGACAGAGTGTGATGAAGTCGCATCATGAACACAAAGGTCAGCATAAAGCGGCGACGTGCCAAGCTGCGGCCTGTCTGCCACCTCTGCGCCCGAACACCAGATCCTAACACAGTGCAATCCCCCAATTCTACCAGGACCCGAAAGTGCGCCTTGTAATGCTTTTAGGTAAGCCCAGACATATGAATCGTTAGATCGACAACATCGTACCCCTACAAAAACCTCATGAAAACTCCAAACTCGGCACCCCTCCCTCCTCCACGAAGATTTGCATCAAGTGTGACACGAGGTCGTAGTCGGTGGTGGGGGGCTTCACGAAGATAGGCTGGTTCATGCCCAAGTGATGACACCGAGCAATCTCCTGAGGAGGGTCGAGGGACTCCAGTGTTTCTGGCATTTTGGGGCTGGCTCGTCTTCAAACTGTCCGCTGGGGTTGGAGCTGAAACCGGATGGATGGCAACCTTTAGAGGGACTGTCAGGCTAAGCACCATGCAAACCCTTGTTCGTCACCGTCGCATCATGTGTTATGAGACTTCCGGCAGCTTGACCATGTTCCAAAGAGATGCACAGCATGCAGGAAGAATCCGAGACGTGACCTGACGTGCCACGTCGAGACCCGCGAAGGCCCATAGCCAAAGAGAGAAGCCCTTCACATTGGCTTCGGCCACGAAGACTACTGACTGTCGCTGCTTAGCACAACATTGAACCGGTCGACAGAAACGGAACCATGTTCCCCAGACTTGTATTGTCTGCGGCTCCAAGGGGCCGATGGAACTGGAAGGAAGGTCTTCTTCTCCAGCTCCTGAAGGGGTACGGTTTAGGGTCTAGGGTTTGGGTCTCAAGTCTCAAGTGAGTCCGTTTTAGACGAAACTTCTTTGTGGGTCTGAGCCTTCGGACGGTCTCCGTGGAGATACCTGCACTCAGCCAAACCCAATGCATGTCCTCAAGTGTGTTGTCCGGAAGGAGCCTATTCGATAAGGTTGTTAAGCCATTGCAGGCCACATGTCTTGACTTCCCGTCTCTCTGATTGCAGCAACTCAACTGTAGATCCCCTCGAGCCCTGCCATCGGGGCCTGAGTGAAGTATTCCAACTCCGTTGACAGTGCATCTAAGCCTGCGTCGGGTGTCAACTTCGACGGAGTAGAAAACGCGTGCAGACCACCCCGGAGAAAGTAAATCATGGCAAAGCGGAAAGACAGAAGGACAACAAACGCCAAGCTTGCTTGAACTGATTCTTAAACCCTAACCCAAACCCTAAGCCCACGAAGGCAGAGCCACATGGAACGGTTTAGGGCGCATGGCACCCTTCAGACCCGCTTGTCCTATGTGAGGGTTGGTTTAACTCCGGGTTCCAATCAAGTTCAAAGCTGTATGTAGCAGATAGCAGGCATTTGGAACTACACATTGGGAGTTTGCCAACCAGCAATATGTAGAGGCTGCAGAAACATGAAACTACTATAACAGATGTTTACAGGTGAGCCGGTAGACGGCGTCCTACATTCGAGGGACCTTGACAACGAAGTTGCATAGCCACTCAACCGTTTAATGTCGCTCAGCTTGGGGGGGGGGGGTTCTGGATCAATCTAGGTTTGCGCTTCGCATGTCGCTTGAATTGTTTCGTGCTTTCTCCGTGCTGGGCTTTTGTCCAGGTACCTTGCTGCGTTGCACGGCGCAAGCGTGCCCCACCGCGAAGCAAGTCCAGCTTTACCTGGGGAACATAGAAACATGCTGTCTCTAGCCAGCCGTTCCATGCGAGCTGATCCATTGATACAGTGCTGTCAAGCCCTTATGACTCATGACTGAGTGGGTATCATCCTTGTTGCATGGGTGCATGGCGCATTCGGCGGGCTGTCTTTCTGAATAGGAAATCTTGACGGTGCTCAAGAAGCCATCTAACGAATGTGTCAAGATTGAAGTCAGCGCCAGAGAACGCAAGGTCACTGGCGGACTTGCTAAAGAAACTTCTAAGCAAACGGCTCGAACTCCATTAACAAGAGCCTTCCGTCGGCTTATGGAGGCCTGGCTGTTCCAGCTCAGAGGGTTTTAGGGTTTCGGGTTTAGGGAACTCTCAACACAACTGTTTCCAGCGCTATCCCTAGTCTCTCATGTTCTAAACGCTTCATTCGGGGCTGCAGAGGGGTGCTGAGTGTTCAGGCATCGGCCCTGTTTTGACGGGTCTGCAAAGATAGCACTATAGTAATACTACACTATAGTATTGGTGCATGATCTTATTATATATATATATATGTATATATATATATATACTATATTTAGTACAGCAGTACAATATTAATTATTGGTATTAAGTTTTACAGTATTAGTATCCTGGGCACGGAGCCTGGGGATCGCTTGCGAAGATGACTTCCTGCGCCGATGCTTCCTGCGGGCATGGGAAGTTATCAGAGCCATGCCGGTGTTAACACAGGGGCCTTAATAGTTAGAACAGAGTTTCGGGGCCCAGTATACCATGTTCATAATAAGGAACCCGCAAGTTGTCGGTGCCATGCAGATGTTACCGACAGGGGCGCTGCGCATGAATGGAAGGTTTGGCGAGGATGAACTTCAAAAACTGGTCTGGCCTTCAAGGCAGCGAGGCCCAGCATGCTTTCGACAGTCTTATATCAAACAAGCCATGGAACAAGCAGGCATGCTTTCATGCAGCCGTGATGGCATGTGCCGTGGAAGTAGCGGTCGCATTCAAACACCTCCGCCTACGAGTACCACAACAAAAAAGAAACACTTGGGACTCCCTGCTTCGCAATTCCGGGGGCCTCCATCAACGCAACCTTCACCTGAGTTGAGAGTCCAACAGTGGGTTCTCTCTTCTCTTCGAGGCCTAGGCTTTCCAGCTGAGGTCTACAATTCTTTTGTGCGACTTCTTTCTAAAGTTTGTCTCTGGATGCAGAAGCTCATCAAGGGCACGGCTTCAAAAGACTTGGAGTGATTTCAGCAATGCAAGGAGCAGGAGAACGGGCTTCCGAGGTACGAGCTTCGCCTACACACCTGTTTGCGGCTCCAGCCTTGCACGAACACTGCAGACATGGGCCCTGAAATATTAGACTGTACTACATGACACTGCATCGTGATTAGTATACTATAAAAAAGAGCCCCCCCTTAAGGGGGGGAGGGGTGGGGGGGTGGGCGAGGGGGGGGGGGAAATAGGTGGCATACCTATTTCGATGTTTTTCATATGTTGGGGGGCTTGGGGGACTGTAGCGCAGAAGGTTGTGTGCTGAGTGGCTCAAGTTTCGGGTTGAGCGTGCGAAGGCGACAGCCTACTACTAAGGTATGTACTTCTAGCCCACCAGCTATGGCCTCGCCTAGAAGCCTTCCCCAAGCCTTGTAAGCCAGGAATAAATAGGTGGGAAAAGGTGGGGGGACCGTAGCGTGCAAGAGCCTTGCGCCTCGTAGGCGACCCCCAACCCCCCCTTCGACTCCACCTATTTCTCCTTGACGCTGGACTCCTTGCTATACTAGCCTACTACTCAGGCAAGTTCTTGGAGCTAGCCTATTTCTAAAAGAGGTGCAGCTCGCCCAGCAGCTATGGCCTTGCCTAGAAGCCTTGTTAGCTAAGAATAAATAGGTGGGAACAGGTGGGGGGACCGTAGCGTGCAAGAGCCTTGCGCCTCGTAGCGGACCCCCAACCCCCCTTCGACTCCACCTATTTATCCTTGATGCTGGACTGCCCATGCAGATAGAGGGCTGTCATGCTGCTGTTCTAATCATTTCCCACCTATTTCCAAACCACCCCCCACTGTAGCAAAATAGGTGGCGGAAATAGGTGGCACCGGGGGTTACCCCCCCCCATTCTCACTATATTAAGGGGGGGGCTCTTATAAAAACCTACCAGGCGGTGTGGAACAAGTTGATGTGCATGAACCTGGGCTTCGGGCCATGGTGATGAACTTCTCAAAGAAGATGTGCCCCTGAGCCGCAGGTGTGACATCGATCCTGGCAAGGGCAGAAGTTCGACCCTTGCGATGTCGATCCTGAGAAATGCTGGGATATCCTGGGCTCTCGTTCGGGAACTTCTTCGGACTTGGCAAATTGCCGAAGTTGCGGTATCTTCGGTTCGTAAGGATACAGCTGCAATGTTTCGAGGACTTCTAGGCCCAAGCTTCGGAGGCCCAAGCTGTAGAGCTTACGTGTTTAGAGTGTTGGGATTCACGGTTGATTGCAGGTTTGGAGTTCGGGCCAGGGGCTTAGGACAACTACGGCTCGACCTATTCCTAGGTGTTCTGTTCTCGGTCTGCTTAGGGAAAAGTCCACGAGCTTCCGTGCTGCAGAACCGTGAGCCCGTCCTGTAGCCATAAGGTGCCCGCAGCATTTGGGCCTCGACTGGCTCGAATTAGAGACTTGTCAAACAGGAGCCTTAATGACTAGAGTAGGGTTTCGGGGTAAGTACAGTATAGCTCTAACAGTTAGAGCTATAACAAGAAAGGCCAACATAATTTTGGTGATTATATTTAGGCTTCTATGTTCAACTTAACGCTCCGTCACCCCAACTAGATCGGTTCACTCTCTGAGGGCAAGCAAGAGGACTGCTGAAGCCGCAGCATCCATCCCTGTATTGTGTCTGTAACGTGCGTAACCTTTCGATTGGGGGTGTGGGTTGACTAATTAATTACTACGCATTCCGGGGGTATGGAGCTGTGTGCAAACAAACATGCATCAGTCAGAACACGGTAGCCATCTCACCGAGAACCTGAAACCCTTCCAGCTCTCGAAGGTTTTAAGCAGCACATGCTTATCAGCAGCAGTCGCAACAAGAACTTGATAATAGCATCGTTAGTCTAGCGGCGGTGGTTCAATGCTAGACACCAGAATCGCGGCACAAATTATGCCCTTTTTACACCGGGACTATGCATATGCCAGGAACCATTTGTCCTAAAACCTAAACCTTAAACTCCCTACTTTCGGGTATCAAGGGGAACTAAAGCTTAACCTTGTTGGGTATATAGGGATTACACAGGGACTATAGTCCCCCCCAAAAAGGTTAAAGGTTACCTACTCCACTACTAGGACTCTTGTTTGTTACACTGAGTCGAAGTTGCTGTCGGCCAGCCCTTCCACAGCGATGCCACTGTAGGGAAAACACTCCTGTTGTCTTCTTGGGTTTTCGCCGCTTAGGGCGGTTAGTGGGAGTTCAGGCTTTAGGGGTGTGGATTAGAGCTTGGACGTTTTAGGATTTCGCGAGTGCTTAGAATTTAGGGGTTTGGTTGGCTGGCTTTAATGAGTTTAGGGTAGAGGCGTTTGGGACCTCAGGGCTCCTGTGTTGGAGGAGTCTAAGAGAAAGAAACACAATGAACAAAGGGCGACGACGAACACAACGACAGGAAAACCAGCACAGCAAAGGAGACAGCAACAAGACCGTACCACCACCACCACCACCACCACCACCACCACCAGCACCAGCACCAGCACCAGCAGCACCAGCAGCACCAGCAGCACCAGCAGCACCAGCAGCACCACCAGCACCAGCACCAGCACCACCAGCACCAGCACCACCAGCACCAGCACCACCAGCACCAGCACCACCAGCACCAGCACCACCAGCACCAGCACCACCAGCACCACCAGCACCACCAGCACCGGCAGCAACACCGGCAGCAACACCGGCAGCAGCAGCAGCAGCGGCAGCAGCAGCAAGCAGCAACCATACATGAATCCAAACATACATCCATACACGCATTGATGAAACAGGCATGCGGAAAATACTTGTATGCAATACATTACAACTCGTTGCATTTACACAACATACCGAATACATTACGGTGCATCACAGTACATTGCAATACATTTCGGCACAACATGGCATTGCAGTGTGTTGCATCACACTACAATGCATGTTATGAACTGCCATGGCATTCCATAACATGCCGACACACACATGCCCACACACATGCGCGAGCAAACAATACATGCATGCATACGTATATGCATACACCGTTGCAGGCATTCGGCATGCATGCATGCGTACATGCGCACATACATACACCGTACACATAGACAGACATACAGGGAGACGCTGTTACACATCATACATACGATATACTGCAATCCATTCCAATGCAATGCAATGAATCGCAATACAGTACAACCCAAGATAAAAAGAGCAATTACTAAATATATACATACGCACGTACAGACATAACAGACATACGTGCTCAACAGTGCTACATGAATACATACCCTAAACCCTACAGTACGAGGCGAACTAATCATCTGATGCCACCCAGGAGCTGACAGGTCGCCGAGCAAGCACCAGGCTTGCCGGTGCGAAACTCCTCGCCGTCTGAGGTTTAGGGCTTAGGGCCTGTGGGGTTTAGGGTCTATTTGGGGCCTTTGGGGTTCGGATTTCTTTTGCCTCTTCGCAAGGGCGAGCCCACATGGCAGGGCTAGACAAGTCTGAGAACTTCAGGGTGAAAGGCAATCTTCAAGCTTTGAAAGACTACCACCAAGGAGGTATCAACCTGGTCCCCGTTGAGGGATTCTCGTACCGACATAGCTGGCTCCTATGAGCCTTTGTCAAGGCTCCAGGGTTCTGGCTTTAGGGTTGTAGAGCCCTCGGGGGTTACGATTAATTATATCCAGGGATTACTGTCGTATGCTATGTAGGATGTGCCGGGTGTGGAAACTTCGATCATCAGGATCGCAAGGCGCCCGGGTTTTGATCCGTAACAAGAAGCACATTTCCTGAACTCCAGAAGTCAAGCGCATGAAACTTGGGCAACTGAACCCTTGCGCGGTGCTCACCGTCCTCAGGCAAGTCTTCCAGGGCTTTGACCGCCGAACCACTTACCGCAAGAAGCTGGTCATACCTGTGGCGACGTGAGAAAGCTTGTCGGCTTGTCGGGATAAGTTTTGTGGGACTCACATTTTCCTCAGACTGACACTAGAACCTTCCATGCCTTTCGCCCATTACATCATGCGCAGCTTTCCTCCAGCCCTACGAGAATCAAGCTTCTGTGTGCAAGCAAGAAGAAAAGTGCTCATCTACATGCCATGGCACGATTTACCTTCTGCCACCATGATGTTGAGCATGCAACATGCTAAAGAGGCCAGCGTAAGTCTGATGCTACCCACCGGACGGCTCAGGTTGAATTCTGCTATCTAGGGCCATCTAGGGCCCCAATTAGGGTTCAAGAGTCCAAGATTTGTGGCCTCGGGGGGGGAGGTGGAGCTAGGGGCTTAGATGTCTCGGGCTCTAGCTGCTCTTTGGTCTGCACACACGTGAAGTATGCAGATCTCGTCTCGGCACATGCTGCATAAGTATCCGACACTGTACCTGAGCCCGTATGTTTCGCTGACACATCTTGACACCTTCAGGATTCCAGACCATGCAGAACCTGGATCTTCAATGTGCTTTCTCGTCAGCACTGCATGAATGCAAGCCGACCTAAACTCCTACAGATGTGCCGAGGCACCTCTTGACTATGGACGTGGAACTGTGCTTCACTTCCTGCCGGAGGTGCGACCGATGTTCCGCAAAAGAAGACAGCACGTGTTCGAAGCCACAGGCATGCCGCGTGGCAAGTACTCACTCACAAGAATAGACTCTGATATCATCTGCGCGTGTATGTCTGTAGACTGTAGACTACGCCATCTAACACAAACCCGACTTATATCCATCATCCCGACGCTGACACCCTCAGGACAGGTAGAGAATATGCCGTGGGCACGACGGCTGCTTGTACAGAAGGTGTCAAAACTTCACACCAAGCTCCTCTGCAACTTGCACAACATTCCCAATCTGCGTCAGCACCTTTCAAGGATGCAGGTAAAGACAAAGGAACAGGCCGAGGAATTGGAGGCTTCACATGGGGACATCTCCCGTGAAGATCGTCTGCAAATCACGACAAAACGGCAGTAGCACCACTACCAACAACAGCGAGAGACTACGACGACTACAGCAACAGCTGCAGCAGAACCACCACCGCCGCCATCACCACCACCACCACCACGACCAACCACCACCACCACCACCACCATGGCCACGATCACCGCCACCAGCGCCACCAGCGCCACCAGCGCCACCAGCGCCACCAGCGCCACCAGCGCCACCAGCGCCACCAGCGCCACCAGCACCACCAGCACCACCAGCACCACCACCACCACCACCACCACCACCACAACCACCACAACCACCACAACCACCACAACCACCACAACCACTGACCATCACCACCACCACGAGCAACAACAACGACAAAGACTCGACAAAAAAAACAGCAAGAGCAACACCAGCAGCAGCAACAACAACACCAGCAGCAGCAGCAGCAGCAGCAGCAGCAGCAGCAACAGAAGCAGCAACAGCGGCAACAGCAACAGCAGCAGCAGCAGCTGCAGCAACAACGACATCGATTACCAGTGGTCATCATGAACACCACATCATCGCTTACGGTTTTGTGCTCAACGAGCAACTGCCACTGGTAGTAGCCGAGCGGCACAGCTGGATTTCAGACTGTCTAACGGTATCGTGTACTTCTCCTGCGCGGGGGAGAGCACCGCTGATCTGTCTCGTAGGTTTCGGAACGAAATCTAAACAGCCCTAAACCGCTTGCCGAAGCTCCGTCTGACTGGTCGCAAACCATGTGTGATAGACGAGCCAGAACGGGGAAGCTGCAGCAATTGCGCGCTATTCCCTCCATGGAAAGAACTGTCTGTGATCCTTAGAAGAAAAACAGGCAGCCGCCGGCCGTCTACTATGGAATTGAGACAAGGAAGGTAGATCCAGAAAGAAGTCTTCTACATTCTACACCGTAACGAGCGACAAACTTTGAGTTATTATTGCCATTACTGTTATTGTCGTTAGTGTTGCTACTTGCGACGTTCTTATGTATCATTCTCAATGTCATTCCTATTGTACTTTGATTCATACGACTAATGAAACGAAATTTGGATGTTGAGCTCCGACATCCACGGCGCTCCTCTGGGATCCCAGGCCCATCGTCCACGGAGCACATGTGGATCCTGATGGTTGCGTTGTGTTGGAGACTTTTTGCGGGGGTCTCCAAAAGTATGTGTGAGTTGGTTATCTCTATAGGACCATAAGGGAAATTCTGAAGTTTCTCAAAATACCACCTAGCTTTGAGGCTTTTGTTGGCCTGGGCTGTCGAGTTTGAATCTGATGCTAAACAAGCCTCATGCCGTGCATGTGCAACTGTACTTAGACCTACACCTCTCAACATACTTCCTCTTGTCGTAGGTGGGGCTTTTCGGCGTCGATTACAAGTGGCCACAACTGCTACAGTCGGAACTGGCTCCAATCCGTCATGTGCAATATGGACAGACAAAAGCCTACGGTAGACCGGAGCTCCATCATAGTCTTGGCAGCTGCTGGATCCTGGTGCTTAGAGCGACTAATTGAGGGAACATTCTTGAAAACATCTGGCACCCTGGGTTAGTGGAGGAGGTTCTGTAGTTCAGGAATCAGGAGAAGTCCTCTTGCCGGCATCGGCCTATCCACAGTGTTCTTCTAATTCCCACCAGGAGGCACAGCGTCCGCATTGAAAAGAAGGTGTGGCAGCGCCTCGTTGACCTCGGCTGTGCTTTTGAATGCCACCGTCGAAGCATCATTTGCAAGGGGAGTTCTTCGAACTAAGAATGAATCACAAAGCAATGTCCATTCGGTACCCCTGCCAGACCCTGCACACTTCCTGTATCAACTGCACATGAAACCCTATTCTAGGGGTTCTACTCATTAGAACAGGGCCTTGGGGTCCATTATACTGTAATTACCCCAAAATAGTATGGGTAGTTATTTAGGCCCCTATGGGGGCTCCTTACTATAATTGTAGTATCAGATTCCCCAAACCCCTCTTCTAATCATTAAGGCCCGCTATAGTAGCCGACCTTCGCAGCAGTCGCCTCGTCCTCCGAGGACCAAGGCCTGAGACTCCCAGGCTCTCGGCTTTGAATCTCTGGAATAAGGTTTTGGGGCCCTTTCTACCATAGATATATAATAGTAAGGAACCGCCAGAATAGCGTTGGTAATTACATCCTAAGGCTCTATGGTAGTTCGTTTTTGGGGGGGTTCATGTGTAGAACCCTATGAGGTAGACTCAGAAAGGAACTACTATGGAGCCTCTGGGTTGAGCACTTCCGGGCTTCAACTCTCAAGGCTTGTAAAGAGCTGCTGTTGCTTTGACTAGTGGCTTGAAATTTGGTGGTCAAGACTGCAGTTAGGGAACACTATTAACCGCGGTCCATGCGCCAGACACGCTTGCATGTGCTACCAGCTGCTCTTGCAGGTCGGCCTACTACCACTTCTACTTCTACTTCTACTTCTACTACTACTACTACTACTACTACTACTACTACTACTACTACTACTACTACTACTTCGAGCTGCTACTACTACGACTACGACGACGACTACTACATCTCGTAGACTGCTGGTGCAAATAGTTTCTGCTAATATGAATACAAGCGAATACGAGTACATCTGCTTTCATAGCGAGTCACATTCCGAAATGCTTAGCAACACCACCGCTCTTACACCGTGGTTGGAAACCGGCTTCTACGGTGTCGCACCTTGCCCGCCCGGACTACCACAATGTATGGGCACTCGGACCAAACGGCAGGACTTAAAGAGGGTAGAATGCACTCGAGGTCTTGAAGCCAAACACATGTGTCTCCATGATCGGCACGCCGAAACCGGACGAGACGCCTCCTCGATCATCAACAGCGAGCGAGTGTGATATCGAGACCCTAAGACCATGAATGGTCGTGGCCATTTTGCTACCAAGCGTCGGCTGCTTTCTAGCCACAGGCGGCTGAGGCTTGCAGAGGTAATCACAGAACACCAGCAGGCGCCCTGCACTTTCTACACACAGAGACGTGCACAGATATTGTGTAGCTGTACAGCATTTTACAGCAAAACATCTTAGACATTTTGAAGCAAGACATCTTAGAGATTAAGCTGCAATATACGTACAGCTGTACATACAGGAAGAGGACAGCTCAAGAACCATTCCCCGGGCTTCGCTCGATGCAATGAAGACATTGGAATTCCACGAGCTTCAACAGTTACAGGCTCGGGGTGGTTTTGGGGAGTTGGTACCTGGTAGTCATGCCAGTCCCCTCAACCTTCACTAAGCCCCAAACCCTAAGTTCATCATTCACTGGAAGAGATCTGCCGGAACAACAGACACAAGTGGAGAGTTAGACCCACGCCTCCGGCGCGCAACATCAACGCCTGAGCCAGCTGCATACACATACAGATCCGCCAAAACTTACGGAGCTTATACTCGGGCCCTGAAATTCAAAAGGGTCGCCCTTTCGAGGCTAAAGGTTTGCAGCAAGGTATGTGCTTAGACCATGAGAGTATATTTCCAGAGTTTACCAGCACAAGATCTCCTATAACTTGGTCGTGACGGTGTTTCAGTTGCAGGATGCAACTGTCCGGGCTCTCTTGGAGGGGTCACTTAAAACCTCCGGAACCGCGTGAGAGCAGGCAGCGGGGATGCTGCGACGCCTCTCAACGGCAGCACGGATTCCTCATGATCTTCCGAAGCTTCCGGCATTCAAGCTGTCAAGTCCAAGAAGCCTGAGACCTTGAACCTGCTACACTTCGAATCCAAGTCGCGGCTTTTCGCAGCAATGCGGCCAGCATGTCACTGCATGCACCAGTTGGGTCCGGATGCAGCTGATAGCACCACGCCTGCCGTCAGCTTGTTCTTACTGTACATCGGTGCCATGCTGATACTCTGCTTCCGAGTATGTGCTTAACCGCTTAACCAGCATTATTCCTTGGAGACGGCAAGTTGGAACACTTTGGAAGACGTGCGGATGTAGAAGTACCGCATGGTTTCAAACTTAAGGCCTGCTTTGAGTCCTAATTGAAAGAGCTACGCAAAGCGATTGATCTGCCAGCAGACCTGATATCTCGTACTTCGGGCTCCTTGGCTTCTGATTCAGTGCCCCGCCTGGGAGATCACCACCAGATTGTCCCCGGTCTTCGGGGTCTCGTGCAAGTGTCCTGAGGTCTTCGAAATCCTCTTCCCCATGGAAGCGAGCTTTGACATGCAGTCCTCCCAAATATCTGTTCTGTGAAGCCGATGCATGCCTGTTCTTAGGCGCGCATGTGCGTCCTTCCGTTTGGGTTGCGTGTCATCCCGAATGCTTGACCATTCTGTACACTCTAACCTTTCCCTGAACCCCAACCGACCCTCTAAACCTGAAGCCCTCGACCCCAAACCCTAAACCTAAACCATAAGCCCTAAACCCTATATGCCCTAAACCCGAAAGCCCTAAACCCAAAGCCCTAAACCCGAAAGCCCTAAACCCGAAAGCCCCGAAACTCCGCAAGGCCAGGATGCCCACTTCTTGACAGCGAGGCCATGGGTGATCCAGTTTTATGAGGGAGCTGGCGGCCACGAACTTCACCTCCGGCCTGGGTAACTTCCATCATATAGGGGTCTTGATAATAAGAATAGGGTTTTGGGGTATAGTATATTCCCTATATTAAAACAAGGGAACACCCAAAATTGTTGGTATTGGTGTTATTCAAGCGCCCATGTTAACTTTCTGGGTTGGTTAGCCCTGTAGGACTTCGATTTGACTCAGAGGGTTTGTTTGGATTCTGGGTTTTGATTACTCTTGCCTCTGTGCATATACGGGAAGCCCTTCGTTTGGAGGTCCCGTGACCAGGGACAAAATTGGGAAGGCCAGGCATGTGGCCTCAACACAGCTTCTTGGGGATACAGCTCCTGTAACTGGCTATCCAGGAAACACGCCTACAGTAGAAGCCAGAAAGTTCGAATATGATTATCCTAAACCCTTTAAGGTAAATTATAGGGGATCCTACCATTAATCCATATTCCAACTTTCTGGAGTTCCCTTTAGGTAGGTTTCCTAGGTCCCATAAAGACCACGTGGGCTTAGAGTCTGACAGCCTGGACTCTGAGCCGCCAGGTGCCTTCTTCGCAGGCTCCAGGGGTGAATGGACTTTAGTCAAAGGGGAAAAGGACGGACCCTTAATGGGGACCCCTACCCTATAATGGGCTATATCATGGGTATATAATAGCTATATTAAGGGTATATACCTAGGGGTCCTTATTAAAGGTCCCTCCTTTTACCCTTGGATTTAGGCAGTAGGGCTGAGCGTTAAGGCTATGGGCTAGGCGGCTTTATGATGATAGATGCCCTCCGAGCTTGGAGGGAGCCAGCCTGCAGCCAAGGCACGGTAGGTGCACGCTATCCCGATAGGGCATGGCGTCGTCAAAGGCTGGAGGCGAGGTCGTTTCGGGGCTCGAGAGTCCCCCTAAGGCTAAGGTCTGATCGGACCACTTTATGCAGAATACACGTGGTCAATCAACCAAACCTAAGTGCAAATGAAGCCTGCTGTTCCAAAACTCAGCATTCGTACTGAACGGCATAATCCAAAACAACCTGTAAGATCTGAAGCTCATGATGAGCAGTCCCATGGTCAACTATCGCCCGACGGCCGGCTTGCAAAGCTGCGCGATGCAAGTTCTCAGCAGAAGTAGCAAGCAGGAATTGGGACGGACATCATCAGTGAATTGCAGATGAGCTGCTTGGGCTTTGGAGCGTCTCCTCGTTTCACTACAGACACCCATACTCTGCATATATCTATAAGCCCCACAAACCTATATCTCCGGAAGCCCCACACCCGAACTCTCATCCCACCGACCCAAAGCTAAAACTCTAGCAACCCTATATAAGACCCTAACACACAACTCACAGATCTAAACCTTATCCACGGTCGCGAAAGCTGTGCAAGCACCTGTGCTCAGCAGTTTCGGCAGTGGGGGCGCCAGTGGTCTCCTGCGTCACCCGATAAAGTGTGGACCCGACACCTAATTTTGAGGCCTTAGGGGCACTAAGGACTTCACTGGGGGTGCGGGGACATATTATAGGACCTCAAGCACGGAACTCTACTTGGAGGATTGCAGGGCGTATAGAAGTGAGGTTGAAAGCACCCGACCTGGGGCTTTAAGTAATAATAAGTATAGTTCAACTTCCTTAGTTAACTTTGTTGAAGAGCTAGCTACTTCAGCAAGCCAATTCGATGCTTAGCTTGTGAGGCTTGAGAGGTACACTGTTAAACAGGCATAAGAGGTCTGCGCCACTCCAACCTCAAAGCACACATGCACTGATGAACAACGGCTCCTCGATCGGGAAGGGAACAGAGGACTCTCCCACAACCATGCCTGATCCAGGTGAGCCTGCAAAAGGGCAGCAGCTGCTGATTCAAGGGCTCCGATATGTGGGGACTTGTGCCCGAAGACAGCACTTTATGTGCACAGGACGTGAGTGTCCTGCAGCAGTGTAGCACTTAAACAACAAGACATCGGGAAGGAACGCAGTGAATCATGTGAGCAGGGCGCACCTTGCGGTATCGGAACTCATCATCTATCCTTGTCGGCAAGGAATTGTGAGGGAGTTGATGCAGGCTACTACCGTCGCCCTCGGGTGCACTTTGCCATCGACCGGTGGTCTGAAGCGGCTTGGGGGCTGCCAATCCCACGGGAAGCTGCTGCTCCGCCGACAAAGCACCGCTTGAAGCCTGGTGAGTCGCCTTTTCGACTCTCATGCTCGGCACGAGTCTGTCTCACACCGGTTCTCGACTATCACTAGCAGTAGCAGCCTGGACAATCCCGGTCTTTCTCTTCCGCGTACATCAGGACTAACACTCGTGCAACCGGAAGCCACGGACTGTCGAAGCTCAGCACATCACTACATGCACCGTCAAGACATGAAATAGCCTCACAGCATGCTCCCCGACAGCTCTCTGTGTACTGTTATCTATTCACGAGGCTCTCCAAACCCCTCCCAAGCGTCATCGGAGAGCACATGAGTTCGCCACGTTCTGATAAAGTGTCACGCAGCCGACCTTCTTTGTAGACTACCAATCTTCTTTGCCATGTCAAGTGGCTCTACCAAGGTCTGCACATCATCTCGGTTCGGTCGGTCCCGTTGAATGCAGGTCATGGGAAAACAACAGGATTATTCCGCGCGCTTTGCGCTTCGCAGAATGGAAAAATCATATGCTCTGAAGCTAGACATAAACACAAGAGATTGCTTGCCAGTAGCTCTCCCAGGCCTAAAGCCATCGGCCAGAGCCACGGCAAAAGATAGGTTATTCTGACCAGCTAGAACAAACCCAGCAGACCACCCAACCTCAGATTGTTTGCCTGCCGCCCTTCATGCGGCTGCGAGCGGGGCCATGGGCCACAGCCACGGCAAAAGACAGCTTACTCCGACCAACCAGAACAAGTCCAGGAGACCACCCAACCTCAGAAAGTCAAGAAACGAGTAACCCCCTGGCCCCATGACGATGAGGTTTGTTGCATAGCCAATCGGGCTGGCAAAAGATGTGGATGCGGCAATCATGACCACCATGACCAATGGGTGCGGGGAGTCCAAACCTGGGTTCTTGTTAAGGAATTTAATTTCAGGTACCATGATAAGCAAACGATATGATGTATTATAGATCCCAAACATGGTACCTATAAGAATCTAGCGTAAATAAGTAATTAATACGCTTCCTTACTATATGGTAGTTTCATTATAAACTCTTAAACACAGAACCCAGAAACCCATCTTCTCCGCCAAGTCGATCGCCAAAGGGACCCCCAAAGCTGCCGCGGCGTTGTTTGTCACCATCTCCTTGAGTCTTAGGGTTTAGGGTTTAGGGGGTTTAGGGTTTTTGGGGTTTAGGGTTTAGGGTTTAGGGGTCTAGGGTTTAGGGTTTTTGGGGTTTAGGGTTTAGGGGGTTTAGGGTTTAGGGTTTTTGGGGTTCAGGGTTTCGGCGCTCACACTCGGGCAATCCAGGTTTAGGGTTTCGGCGCTCACACTCGGTCAAGGGTTTAGGCATCTCCTGAGTGTTTGCAAGAAGGAAAGAAAACTGATCCCTTTCACAAGCTCCCCTTTCTCGATCTGCAGAACCCCAACTCTCGAAAACGATCCCAAGATTGACCAAGTCTCGGTGGTAACCATGACGATGAGGTAAAGCAGCGAGGGCGCCAACCAGTTAGGAAGGCCCGTGGCTATGATGCCTCGCGAAATACCGGCGGCAAGGCCGGATTCCGCCATAGCCCGTGCCACGCCCAAAGCAGCTCCGATCAAGATCAGCAGCTGCCAATCGACGATGGTGCGGATGTCACCGGCTTTGATCCAGCCTCCGAGGATGAAGATGCAGGAGAGGGTGACAGAAAGCTGCACCATACTGATAATGTCCAGGGAAGTCAGCACCAGTGCCGGGACAAAGACCACAAGTGGGATCAAGTCATACCAAGACATGGGCTTAGGCAAGGAGCCCAGCCTTGTGACAAGCAGGAAATGTGAGTTGGGATACGAGTTTCCCGTAGCACCCAGAACAAGGATCACATCGCCTGCGACGAAAGTAGCGTTGGCAGCAGAAGTCTGTCTGCGGAAAGGGCTCTCTGTGATCATGTCAGGGGGCTTCTCACTGGTGGCGAAGCTGGTTCCCCAGTATCGTGATCGAACAGCGATCAAGCCAGCATTGTAGGCATCGCTGACGATTTGAGCTGCGTTGTAGATCGGCTGGCCGAGCAAAGGTGAACTGGCACTGAGAACCAGCTCCACGAACTCAGACTGTCCAGATGCAGCTTGGCTTGCATGCATGCTGCGAACACGTATTCCAGGTTCTTGTTTAGACATCACCTCCACCACCCTGTCTCGAGGCAAGGACAGGAGGAGCAGGTCGCCTCCCTGTGCTGTCTCAGTATTCCGCACAGGCTGCACCTCCATGATGTCTGGATCTCCCTCACATGTGGCTTCAATGTCCAAATTAAGGAAGCGAACTTGGAAGCTCTGCTCAAGTTCATCAGTGGTGGATCCTTCGCTTGGGTGCAGAATCAACTCGCGAGGTTGCGCGGAGCCCACAGTCAAATGCAGCGGGGAGGGTGCTTTGTCGTTGGGCATCCGACGTCGGATCTTCAACAAGCTGCTCGGTGGCAAGCCCATGGAAATGAGAACATCAACAGCCGGCCGACCCACCCATGGCGAGTCCTCGGCGATATCCAGGGCAGTGACTAAGTTGTCGCCATGCTCTCGCACTTCTCGAAACAGGCCTCCTTTGTTGTCGGGGAGAACAAGCGGGCCAAGAAGGATGATCAAAGTGAAGCTCAAGATTCCCATAGGCAGAGCCACGATTCCTGGCTCGAAGAAGCCGAAAGGCTTATAGCCTTGCTTCTCAAGCAGCCCGTTGACCAACAAGTTCGTACTGGTTCCGATAGTTGTCAGCATGCCCCCCATGATTGCCGAGTAACTCAGGGGAATCAGAAAGGTAGACGGTGCCCGCTGATGTGTTCGTGCCCAGTCACGGACAATCGGCATGAAAAGGACAACCAAGGGCGTGTTGTTGCAGAACCCAGACAACGAGAAGACTAGGAAGCAAATGCGCAGCAACACCACTCTGTCTGAAATCTGTGCCCCTAAGATTCGACGTGCAGCATAGTCCACCACCCTGGATTTATCGACTGCCTGCATCACAATGAAGAGAGCACCGATAGAAATGAGCCCTGTGTTTGAGAAGCCATCGAGGGCATCTGCTGTCGAGACAATTCCCATGTTCCAGAGGACCACCAAGGCCCCGAGCATGATCTGCTCAGGAGAACCGACTTCCAGGAACAGCAGGACCAAGGTCACCAGTATCATTGCCAGGACGGTCCAAGCTTGCCATGTCATCACTTCGTGCACTTCGTGCTCGTGCATCTTGGCAGCTGGAGACTCGAGCGATGGAACCAGGCCAAGTCCGCTCTGGCTCTGCTTGCCCTGCAATCCCGACGCTTCTGTCGTGCTGCTTGAAACCTTGATGTAGCTGTTCTTGGCGTAGTTGTTCTTAGCACGCTGCGCTCCGGTTTTGTAGTACGTCAAGGTCGGCCTGTCCTTCTCTGTGTCTGTATCTTAGGTATGGCGAGTCTGAGACCATCCCGTTCCACGTTTCAAAAAGGCTGCAACAGGCGATTTGCAAATTCGGTCCGGCACCATTGCCTTACAGTAACTCGTGTTGCGTGCTTTAGTCAAACACGCATGCACGCACGCACACACACACACATTCTCTCTCACACTCTCTTTGATTCTCTCTCCGTCAGTCATGCTAACATCCGCCAATGCGCAACAGGTGTGAGGGCGAAGTGTGATCCCCCAAACTCTGGCTCACCTCCTCACGGGGTTTCCCGGCAGTGTGTCTATGCATGTGTATGTGTATACACACACCCCTGTCATTCTGACCCTGCGGTCTTTCGGCACGTCTTTTCAATCTGCCATATTCTGTCTTATGCAATGATAACTGACAACCATCAGGCGACAATGAAAGTGATTTGTCCCAGATACAGATTTGCATTCATAGTCTAGTCTAGCTTCTGCCCCTAGCCTAGTCTCTAAACTGGCCCACAGGCCCTGAGGCCAAAATTTGGAGTCTGGCCCACCGCTGTCGCACCGAGGGCGACACCCCATCTCTCTCCCACCTCAGGCTCATCGTGGGGCTTTGAGTGGTGCGGTCATTGACAAGCCACTTTTAAAGGCAGAAGCATCCTAGTCAAAAGCGTGCTCCGAAGTGAAAGCCAACCGTCAGCTCATTATTGTAGGGGTTCAAAAAGAAGCACTATACGAGCACAGCCCCTCGTACACATGTTCTGTAGCTATTCACGGAGAAGCTAGCTCTTAATATGGGTGGTTGACACGAATATGGTTCCTTTTTGGTCCCTAATTGAGTACGGCACCTAATATTTAGGGTACCCAAAAAGGTACCATAACTTTGACAAGCACCCATATCTGGCTGAGGGTTCCCCAAAGGCGCTGGCCCCTTGAAGGGTTTAAGGTTTCTCGAAAAATGCGCGCGCGCATTAAAGCCTGATTTCGACAGCCTACGCCCTAAACCCTGGGCTGTTTGTCCTAAGCCCCACCCCTCAAAGCCACAGCCTATTTTAGAGGTCAGAATGAGCACTACCTATATTCCCTAGGTCCCTTGTAACCATACACTCCAAGTATTGAGGCCCCTATGCCAGACCCTCCTAGCAGTCTTGTTCGACTCAGAGCAAAGAAAACTTTCAATTCAAGGGGCCCTATACTAATCAATACGGTCCTAAACCAAAGCCCGACAAACCCGAAGCCCCAAACCCCATAAGCCCTATAAGCCCCCAAACCTTAAGCCGAAAAAAACAAAAAACCCTAAGCCCTATAAACCCTAAACCTTAAGCCTAAACAAAAACCCTAAGCTCTAAACCCTAAGCCGAAGGCTCCTACGTTGAACTCCGACCCAGCCTTGGCCGGGGCAAACGACGGCGGCCAAGGCTGTTGAGCCGAATCCAGGAGTGCTTTTTGCATTGCAGGGCTTAAAGGGGCAGGGCTCTGGGCTTGGGTGGTTCATGCTTAATAAGCTCAAATTTTAGGATGGTTTCTGGTTTAAGTCTAATTTGAGTGTAGTTCAAAGTTTCAGCTTGGGGTGCAGCTTCGCTTCAGCAATTGGGGACATGCGCAAGGCAAGAGGCTTAGAGAGTGTGGTGGGGGAGGTCTCGCACCATGTGGGACCCAACTCCTTCGCATGTTCTTCCTCTGAGGCCCGGCCCCGGCACTTGCCCACAGCCTAGCCCTAACTTGCTGCAACCGCCTCTTTCTCTTCGTTGCGCGGGGGTCGCCCTTCCGGAGACCTCGTGCAGAACCCTGCAGCGAAAAAGGGTCTAGACTAAACTGCCACGATCAAACACGAAAAGCCGCCTTTTACCTTCTGGTCACATCCTCTTACTCAGCTCTTGGCAGATCCTAACCATCATTAAGGACCTTATACGACCTCATGCAGCCTAACCATAAAGCTCTCTTTCTGCGAACTTGTTAGAAGGAGCCTTTCTTCGACCTGATTTGCCAGGCAGCAATCTTTGCCGCTAGGCATAATTAGCGACCCTCCAGGGCCAGCTGCCAGGAGTTGAGGGTGCTGTTGCACCATGGCCGTACTATAGGGGCCTTGATAATTATAATAAGGTTTTGGGGCCCATTGTGCCATAGTTAGAGAAAGGAACCCCCAAAAGTAGTATTGGTAAGTATTTACGCCCATGCATTATTGTCGCTTCACCAACCGACAAGTGCATGGGCACTTCACCCGTCAGCCAGTACTTGCAGGAAGAGAGAAGTTTGCAGGTTTGCGGCTAGGCGGTTTTCAGGCGGTTGAAGGTTTACCCATAGGCCCCAAAGTAGTTCCTTTTTGGGATTACCTTATAGGATTCTATATACGAACCCCAAAAAGGAACTACTTTGGGGCCTTAGGGTACGGACCCAAACCCCGAACCCTAACTCTGAAGCCCAGTACAAGATCCCAATATACCAGGGCACGAGCCCTCTACCTTCTGTGATGTTCTCGGATCGATATTACGCAACTACCCGACAGCTTGGCTCAAATGAAGATCCTGGCTCGTGCGGCCAGATAGGAGTGAGACGCATGACGCATGACAATATTCAGGGCAGTTTAGTGTTTAAGGCTTAAAGGGGGCATGAGGCATGAAAGCGAAGCGAACAACATAAGGTCATAAGTAGAGCAGAGGTGGCGTGGCAGTAGTTGTGGACGTTGTCCTCAACATCGTGGTGGTAGTAGTCGTCGCGTGTCGTCGTCGTTGCGGTAGCCGTAGTCATCGTTGTTTTTGTTGTAGCATAAATAGAAGTAAGTCGTAGCAGTAGTAGTCGTCGTTGAAGCAGTAAGTAGTATGGGATGTAGTAGACGCGTAGGCAGTGGGCAGTAGTAGCAGTAGTAAAAGTAATCGTAGGTGGCAGTAGTCGTCGTCCCAGAAGTAGTCGTTGCAGTAGCCGGAAGAGGAGTAGTAGTAGTAGTAGTAGCAGTAGTAGCAGTAGTAGCAGTAGTAGCAGTAGTAGTAGTAGTAGTAGTAGTAGTAGTAGTAGTGGTAGTAGTGGTAGTAGTGGTAGTAGTGGTAGTAGTGGTAGTAGTAGTAGTAGTAGTAGTGGTAGTAGTAGTAGTAGTAGTAGTAGTAGTAGTAGTAGTGGCAGTAGTAGTAATCGTAGTAGTCGTAGTAGTAGTAGGAGTGGTGGCAGTAGTAGTATTAGTAGTAGCAGTAGTAGTAGTAGTAGTAGTAGTAGTAGCAGTAGCAGTAGCAGTAGCAGTAGGAGTAGGAGTAGTAGGAGTAGTAGTACTAGTAGTAGTAGTAGTAGTAGTAGTAGTAGTAGTAGTAGTAGTAGTAGTAGTAGTAGTAGTAGTAGTAGTAGTAGTAGTAGTAGTAGTAGTAGTAGTAGTAATAGCCGCCACAAGTGATCAAGCGGCCGCGCTGAATGAGAGGTTTCGAACAGGCTTGGGGCGCAACTGCTGTGCTAGAGGTTCCAACCGGGCCCTTTTCTGAACAGTAAAGGTTTGTGCCTCCTTCTACGCCCTGGTCCTCTCCCTTTTCTCACAGGAGCTGCTTTGAGCCGCCAGGTCCCAATTCCTGGGCCCAGACTCTGTTTAAAACACTGCAACACTGGGTAGGCGGTAGGGTTTCCACCTCCGCGCGGTGGAGGGAGTCATTAGGCTTCTGTCTCTTGACGAAAGTAGCGGATGGCGCAATTGCCAGTGCACTCACAAAACTTTGCATCTCTTCGCAAGAATTCGTTCAAGACAGCATGTAGAAGGACAGTCCGTAGTGACGGGCCCGTACCATACCGAGGGCAGGTTCTGACACCTACCCTGGTTGATCGTCTGGGGGTACGCCCCCCACCCACTCGAAGAGAGCTTCAGTCACAGACTGCTGACTCCCCTGCATATGGCACAGCCTCCCGCAGGGCAGGCCGGTTGGAAAGATCCATTCGAGTTATTTCGTGGAACGCGGGACACCTAGGCCAACAGCAATGGGGCGAACTCAAAACGTGGCTAGCAGCTGAAGCCTCTCATCACTGTGACGTCCTCATATTACAGGAAACGCACTGGACTGAGACCAGTGAATTCAGCGTTTCTGGGTGGTACTGTATCTCCTCAGCCTCGGAGTCTACCAAACCAAACACCCGGCCTAAACAAGCAGCGAAGCGTAACACTCGGCAAGAACCGCGAGCTCCATCCACGACTCGCGCTGATGGAGTCATGATCCTATTCTCGCCCAAGTTCACCCCCAAGAGCTTACGCTGGAAGGAGTGGAGCCCGGGTAGGGTCTTAGAAGCTCGTGCAGACATTGCAGGTACTCGGCTGGTTGTTGTCGCGGTGTACCAACACGCTTGGTCTTCTGCCAAGACCATCCAGTCCAATAAGGATGACCGTGCTAAGGTACTATCCGTCATGTCCAAGGTGATCAAGCAGGTGCCTAAGAGGGACTCCCTTATTGTAGCAGGTGATTTTAACACTTCCCTGCGTCCGAGCCCTCCATTGGTGGGAACGCACGTGAAGCCGCCCACTGAGGACCGTCCTGACGAATCCAACTTGTTTAACCTGCTGCTCAGGTTGCGTTTGGTTGCCCTTAACACCTGGCAATGTGACCATATAGCCACCTTCTCACAAGGAGGAGTGGAGTCGCAAATTGACTTCATTTTAACCAAAGAATCTACGGCGGGAGGCAAAGCAAAAAGGTCAGCCCCCTGGGTGGACTGCCCGTTGGGAAGCTGGAAGAAAGGAGGGCATTACCCGCTTAAAGCTGACGTACCCCTCCAACATCACTGGCTGCTCCCATCCCATAAGCTCAGCACGCGCCGTTACGATTCACTAGCTCTACAGGCCTCGGTCA